TATCATTGATTCTAATATGTATACGCTTGCCGATCGGGTTATTGAACATCGCCAGCTCGATTGCGACAAGGAAAACAAAGCACCCCTTAGCCGAAGCACCATGCCGGCCGGCCACCTGATAATGAAGCCATGTCAAACTATGAGAGAATCGTCGGCGACAGCCCCGTTCAAAACTCGCACTAGACAGCCTTTAGCTCAAGGAAAAGACACTGCGTTTCTTTCCCACTTGGCCAATCGGACGGACCCCGCGCACTTGAAGGGAAGTAGTAGCTGGGATGAGTATGATTGCTCCGTTGCTCTCCTGAATCTGGCACAACAGGTAAATACACACATAATTAACTCTTTGCTTTGCGTCTCAGTATGCGTAAGGAAGTAATGTTTCTTATTTATGCTGTTCATCAAGTCGCTTAGATAAAACAGCCTGCTTAAAGAAACACTTTTGCTTATACATCGACTTTGCAATTTTCTTTCAGGAACCAAAGGCCGTGCACGCTAGTCCCGAGAAGAGCAACCGGTCCAGAAATGTGTACTGCCAAAGTGGCCAGACAGCTATCGGAGTCCGGAAACAGATGACCTCGACTGCACCGAAACAAAAGCATGGCAACTATAGCAAGGTGACATTCCACAGAACCAAGCCTGGGTGCACGAAACAACTTAGAAAATTAGAAATTAGCGGTGGAAGCACGTCAAAATCAAGCACTTTAGATGATTTACAGACACGTAGGCGGATCGGCATGGCACTCAATCTTGGTGACCGTTTTAAGGTTTTGAAGATGCCGAGTGAGCTTGTAAAAAGACCATCACCAGGTCAGAAAATGGATCTCAGGATCAAATGGCGCCAGAGATAGTACCCATTCTAGTGATACAACCTCACACAAATGAGTCTGTATTGGGCCTCGTTATCTATATAGCGATTGGTCTCAGACTGGACACCTTTGGCATTGCCGATCAAAGTTGCGGGGACAGCACTAAGAGATAATTCATCAGGCCAGCAAACGAATCACAAGACGATCCTAGTCACTACCACACTTGATTATTTGAAATATCTGATGGGCTTCTGCTTCCTTTTCTATTGTCCGGGTATGGAACGGGACTTCCATTCTAATAACGGCAATAGTCATCGAAGCGAAACATTAATTCTAGCAACATAGAGACTGCGAGAGTAGTACATTTTTTTAGCTCAACGAGCCGTGTAAGTAATGCGGAGTCATACAGCCTGATAGTAGCTTAGTAATTAATAATGTATAAAATGACCTATTTTTTTTTATGGCTTCTGAACTTCATAAATGGGCGTGAGCATACATGTCATAAAATGCATCCCATGAGGTCTTAAGCTGATACACTGGTATTAAAAAATGAACGCGGTTTCAGTGTCGTCGCCTTCAGAACAATTTCGGGCTGACGAAGCACTTTAAGTGTAATATAAGAATATGAGATGGGAACATATAGCCAAATCACCAGTGGGTTATGTATTCGATTGCTGCTGTCCATTTATATTAAGTCTAAGACGTTTGAGTATTTTGAAAGGCTCTCAATCCGACAAGTAGTGAGAGGTATTCTCAATATAAAGAGTTCTCCAACAGTCAGCTCGAAGACGTAGAAATTATATACAGAAATATCAGCATAGACGCAAGGTGGACTGCGATATACTCCACTTCTCGGGCTAATTCGAAGTATACCACAATAGCGAGGTGTGGCGCGTGTACACTCAGAAGGTAAGCATATGATGGACTTTCTATGTGACTTCAAAATACCCAAACACACGTCAGTAAGGCTTCACAGTCTCGAAATGATAGCGGTTCCCTATACTTCACACAATAAAACAGCGGTGTCACGGAATTTCTCCGTACAGATACTACCGAGTCCATATACAATGTCTTCACATAGACTAGAGGTCAAATAAAAGATTGACGACTACACGAAACTGTGATACATATGGATGTCACTGTGGCACAACGTCGGAGATACTAAGCCGGCGACTTTGTGTATTTATTCATGATTTCTCTTATGCCGAATCAATGTACACGTATGCACAGTTCGGAAGCAGTGCCTAACCATCTACAACGACTACGACTGCTAGAGTTGCAATTTGGCCATGATGAGCCACTTACCAAGATTGTCAAATCAATCCATATCTCAGTCGCCTCTTGTAGTCTATAATAAAAGAGTGCGGATTTACATTATACGGTTGACAAGAAGAAAATTTACCAGGATAATGCACACAGCTGTGCACAACTTTTTCAGTCACCTTTCTTCATTTACTTTATGTATTTCATTTCTCTCTACCGCGTAGAGCCATAGACTCTGTATATATAGGGCAGCAGCCAGCAGGCACCGTAGGACGCAGGGCGCAGGCGCAGGGTGGCTAAAAATAATACATTTATGTACATATATATGCATATATATATATATATATATATATATATGTGTATGTGTGTGTGTATGTATGTATGTGTATATGTATATATATATATATATGTATGTATATATGTATATATGT